ATGGGGGGGGTCAGTGTTACATGATTCAAAGGAGGGGGGTAGGGTTGTGTTACGAGTGCGTTAGAAGGGGGAGGGTAAAAATATCGGGGGTCGGAAAAGTGCGTTATGTGATACTTGAACAGCCCCTAATATAATTGAGAACGATTGGAAAATGTCCGTTAAATGGTCCGATGAAGATCATAAAAAACTGTGATAATATTGACGGGATGAAAGGAGACGTAACGTAACAAAAGTGTTTATGGTAATCAGGTTCAATTACTTTAAGACGCTTTATGTTATCCATCGGAGACAGCTTGCGATTGTATTCTTACGCATTGGACCCTGTTAAATCCCTATACGTATACAATCTGGAATCGATTGGTTGGGAACAGCTTTACCATCGCATGAGAGCTGTTTTGTCTAACCGTATAAATGGAGGAAAGTAATGGTTTTTATACTAGTTGTACAAATCTAAGTTTCATGTCACAAAGTAATGTATTTCGCCTTCCGTGGAGTGATTAGGCAAAATCAGTTACTCCAGCTTGAGTGTATTCGAATCATTGTTCCCGGGTGCTCTGTGTGCGAGATCCGTACGCTCTACCGCTCTCCGTGCTGCTATTGGCTGCTGCGTCATTTTGTGACGTCACGCGTACGTATATAAGATAGGACAGCGTTTCCCCATAAGGTTTTTGTCCGCACGCGGTCCTTGTTGGTATAGGGAATGTCCGCGCGGCACGGATAAAGTCGTACGCTTGGGATCGCTGATTCGCATCCATAAAAATTAACATCGTCACACTCTGGCGCAATATATGCCACCAGAGCGCCTTCAATGTTCTATGATACACAACGCTTTGTCTCCCAGTTAGTTAAGTTCCTTACCCGACTAAAATCCAGCTGAGAGCACTGTTTTCATTGCACATTCACGTAAGGGTGCTATTTGCTACCATGTTTTTATAATGAGAAGGCGCCTATTTCAATTCAAGGAAAAATATTCGGTACTCTCTTCTTATTCCTTTACCTCAGAATTGTATCACTAGTGGCTTGCAAAGTGCTTGCGACACATACAGATTCCGAATTGTAGATTTTTCAGACGTAACTGCTTTACTGCTCAATATATTCGCAGAATTGTAATAAGGGAAAATGGTGGATCCGGTTGAGAAGCAATCCAGCACTGACAGCGTAATACTTTTCTCTCGCAAGATAGATGGCAACCCCGTTTCTTATCTGGGGTGGTGAGCTTTTAGTTTCGCGAACAATTTAATTTAAGGCTCTCGAGGAATAGCGCCAGAATGCGGAGGGCGACGGCATGACAGCTGAAAACGGCGAAACGGCTGAGGACTGATAGGGAATGTTTTTTAATTGAGGTGAATTCTAGGAAAACACTTCATCACGGGGGCGTGGCATCACGTGATTTCAACGCCCTCACCGAGTTCTGACAGTGTTTCTTTTACCAGTGGTTCACATCGTGCCGATCGCGAACTTTTCGTGAGGTACAGATTCGAAAACCACGGTGATAGGACAAAATGTCCATAAATAAATGTCCAGAGTTAAAAAAGGCCATGAGCAAAAAATGTCCTAGTGTATGAAATGTCCCGCACTGGTAAACTGGTCGTTCTGAATGGGGCTGCGTGCTTTCTTATTCGAAAAAGCATTCTATAACCTTCAGGAACTTGTAGGCTAGTATAATTTTACACTTGTACCTATGTATATCACTGTATATAACTGTTCACTATGTACCGAATAAATGACATGTACCATAGCCTCGGCCAGAGTCTCAATTTTACAAATTGTAAAATAAATAAATAAAATGGCCCAAATAAAAAATGCCCAAATGTCCGGTGTTACCATAGGTCAAAATTAATATCTAGATATGTGGACATATTTTAGATGTGGACTTTTTGGACTCTGGAAAATTTTGTACTTTGGACTTTTATTTTTGGACAAAGTCCTATTACCAAAACCACGAGTTTTTACGTAAAGTTACACTGTTAACGGTCGAGGGATAAAATTCGGTGCTGGAATTTATACAGCGCCCAAATTCCCGAGTGATATGAATGCGAAGTGAAATTATCATTATAAAAGCGTATATGACCTTCCACAAACAGAGTAGATTCTGCCCCGTGAGAATGTAAATCACTCCATAAGGAGTATAGATTCCGCACTGTATTTCATATCACTCGGGGTTTTTGGGGTGCAATATATAGAGTCCGGCTCTGAATTTCACTACAAAATTTTGAATAGTATAAATTTCTGCGAGAAATTTTGTCATCGTTTATCGAAAGTCTAATTTCAGCCAGCTCACTACGTAATGGCTAAAATGTCGTATGTACAGCATGTATTTTACTTGTTTCTTGCGTAAATATACTCATTTTTACGGACGTGTGCTCATTCATGTGCATTTCTCGCCATCTTGAATCGGTATTGGAATCTGAAGGGCAGCGGCATTTTTATAGTGTTTTTCGTGCTTGAGAGTTGGCTGCCCTTTTGAGTCCCAAGAGCCCCATATTTTGACGCGTCCGCACTCTCCTCATATAAGTACTCTAAATTCATCCAAACGGTCTGGTTCTTGAAAGTGCATCACTTGCTTCTCGCTCGCCTTTTACGAATCTAGACGCTACGAACATCAAAATACGATTTAGTATCGAGCACACCTAAATCATTTTTTACCCAGTATTACTCAGCGAGACGAACGAGAGAAAAAACCCACGAGAAACAACTCCCCGAAAAACAAATCTCATCTACGTTAACACCCGAGAATCATAAATCCCGAAACTGGATAGTGTATTGCTCCGTCCTGCAGATAACATGCTTAAAAGTCAGATGCTCCTGCTGGGAATCCCTGCTTAAAGCGATCCTACATGCGACGATGGGGGGGAGGGGGGGGGGGGATGGGGGGGGGTGGGTGAGCTGGCGTCGAGCCGTCCGCTGTTGAAACAGCGATAACATAATCACACCCCTTCGTCTCGCCGGTTGCCAACTCGGGGGAAAAAAAGTCGAATCCGTATCGATATTCGTTGAGTCTCCGCGCGATTTTCCGCTGGATGGCGACATTTCACGGGTGTCGATACCCCTTGTTCTTGATACCGCATATTAAAGTTCATTCTTCAGCACGTTGGGCAATGGTGCAGCGTTGGAATTTTCCAACGATGGAACCAACGAGGATATTATTACTTCACTGGACATTGGAAAAGGGTCTCCAAGTTGTTACATTGCATACTTCGCCCTATTCCCACGACGAGGAAACTATCTTTCTCATCTCTGGAAACCTTGGATGAATTTTTCCAGCCCTAACGAGAATATTTTCCGAAAATTATTTTGACTACATTTTCCAATCAGGAAGTACAATTTCTAGCCCATTCGTAGAAACATTCGTGCGCTTAGGGGAACTAGGAAGAAACTAAGAAGAACTACGTCTTTTCCAAACCGAGCCAAATATTGTAATTCCATATTGTAAAATGCAGTCCGTTTCAGAAAATATCATCTTTCATTCTTCTCCTTCTTCTTCTACTACTACTTCTTCTACTTCTTTTATTATTTCTACTTATTCCACTAACGGATAATTTGGAACTATAAATTTTGGCTTATCTGAAAAAACACTTATGTGCATAGGGAAACTAATGGCACATACGTTGTTTTTGAACCAGGCCAGAATTTATAGTTCCAAATTGCAAAATGCATGTCCAATCAATGACCGACGTGCGAAATCACGAATCTCCATCGCAATGTCTCAAAGTTTTTGCTGCTACTTCAGTTTTCGAGGAGGAATAAGCCAATTTAGTAGCTTGGAACTCAAGCAGAGTATTTTGCTGAGAAAGAGAAAAAAATTAAGGAAGCTTTCAAGCATTTACGTTGGCTAGTTATCCAAAAAAATATGACAAGAAGTCTGTGACGCGACGTCGTAAATAGAGATAGGTGGTTCCGCACTTTGACCATCGATATATCGATCAAAGCCATTCGATTGTGACGATTCAACGATCAACCCTCCGTGGCCCACCGCGGTGGAAGCCTTTTTCACGATGGTCATTCATTAATGCATTCATTCATCAAGCTTTGGCACAGCCTACAGCGTTTTTACATTAGCCGGAGCGATTCATTGATCTCTTTTCCAATTATTTTAAAATTTTATTACTTTTCTCCGTCCGACTATTTTCATAGACAGCCAACCCTTTTTAATTCAAACGCAGCCTTGATATAGTGGTGTTGAACTATTTATTTAGCCTACTTCGAATTCCCTATCATTATTTTAATTCGTTATTTGTTTTCCCTATTCCTGCAGAATTTACGCTGTGTGGCTTTAATGGCTCAGGCACATTTTCCCCTGTTTTTATATATTCTTTCAAATATATTTTTAGTATTTCCCTTTCATCTCACTGCCTTGAGTTTTTCAGGATAACCCTTGATATCCGCACCGTTCGTTCAACACTGGCGAGGCGTAAAATGATAGATTATCGATATTTTCCCATTTGAAACTATGGTGAAGAATCGATTATTAAGGTGTTCGTTACTAATACCTTGTTTATCGATCCTTCTCCATGGGTTTAAATGGCAGATCAATCGATATATCGCAAAGCACGCAACGCCACTGCGTCCAACGGTGGTGACTCCACGTCTTGGCAACTTCTATTGCACAAACTGCTCTTTCACAGTTGCTACTTCCTAAAATGTAACCCGTCGATTTCGTTCGCTGAAAATAGAAATGGTCTCTCTGGTGATTTCCCAACCCTGGAATCAAAAATCTTAACCTTCTAAACAGCAGGCGTGCACTATAAAGCACATCTTTCTTCTTTTATCGTGACCTTTTGCATTTTTCCTTATAGACGAGCGGTCGAGCGCGTCTCAACAACCCCTTCATTATTATTTTTATGGATTTTTATCTCGCTCTTAGAAATTATCCATGAAAATGGGATGGTCAAAATCTACTAGCCCAGCTTGGGCAGAGCTTTGTCTAGATTTTATCGGAAAAACGTGGATCCACTTACGAATTAAATGGGAACCATACTTTGTGGGTATTTATTGAGCCACACAATTTCAAAGAGGTTTTTCAAGAAGTTAAAAAGGTTCGGATAGAGTGCTCGATTTAGACCTGACAACAGTTAACATCCATTCTGCGTTTTAGGCCGAGAATTTTGAAAATGTTATCGCGCCTTTAAAATCCAAAACATGAGATCTCTGCGGAAATATTTTAAGGCCCTCGAAATCTAACTTTGGAGCATATTCGAAAAATATAGTTTAACTCCTTTCTTATACCTACGGTTTCCAACCAGAATAAAGAAAATACCGGTTTTAGATTCCCAAGTTTGCGACGCCATGCCATTCGAAAAACCAAGCAATTTTCATTCGAATGGTTTATTTTATTAGTTAGGATAAACTTTGAGAGGTTTTATGTCTTACGATTCCATCTAAACTGCAATATTACGAGGAGATTTTCTCTCCCTTTTAAATTACGGGTATTAGAATCTCGCGGGTTAATTTTTTCGATCAAAACGGGCCCGTAAGTACGCTTGCACGGCCGGAGTATTTTTTTTTTTTTTTTTTCATCATTGTATTATTAGGTCAGCATTGAGTCCGTCTCGATTAATTTACGCGCATAATCAATATCACAAATTATAAAAGGAGATATGGCAACGCTCATCAATTGTAACGATTAACGTAGATCAGGTCAATTTGCGGGGATCGGGGCTTTGAACCGCGGCTTGTGATTGATAAGAAAAAACACTTTCGATTCAAGAGACAAACTCCGGACTTCGAGAGAGTTTCCACGATTTTCCGGAACTCTTTCCGTTTCCGTTGTTGCTCCATTAATCTTTGTTCAGTCGCGGGTGTCCCATTAAAAGTTCGTTTTGACAGAACGCCTGCTTAGCAGTCGCGTTCTCTTCTGACGTCACACAGTAGATCGAGTCAATGGAGAATTTGTACGCAAAAATTGTATTGCTCCGTCTGAAAGCGCTTAATGAGCTGAGTTAACAGTATTTTTCATAATTTTTTTCTGAAATGGGAAATTGGTGAAAAATAGATTTAAAAGTTAGAAAATGTGCCGCCTTATGACGTCATCTGGCGGCATTTTCCATTTAAACACATGTATTTTAGCAGATTACATTATTTTGTCATATTTTCTCCAATAATTGTTCAATTTAAAAACCATAGACATCCTCGTACTCAGATTTCCGAGGAGTATCATTTTAAAGATGAAATTCACAAAATTTCAGACACCTGCAAATTCTCCATTAAAGAGGTCGGATATGACATTTACTAAAATTGCAAATTTTGGTGTTTTATTCGTCACGTTTTAAATTTTAAGGGGTTTTTCAAGACGGAAATTTTACGAGGAAACCAGTGGAACCACTTTTAAAACCTCAAAGTTTTGTATAAACGGAGATAATAGCGTTTAAGGGTTTTAAAGTTTGTCCGACTTCTCCTAGTGACTCGAACCGCTGCGCGTCAGCCTCCAGAGTTTCTACTCCGTGGATGAACTTTTGGATGTTCATATTTACGTTATATCTGTCGGATTTTGAGTCGATGAAATATTCAAGCTGACTCCTAAAACACTGGAGAGCTCGAAGAATAAAGTAGGCAGGAAAGAATATCATACAATTCTGCCGTGCTAAGGAAGAACGCCGTATGAGCCTTCAGACGTTGCTAAGTTCCCTTCGATAGAAACCGAATTTCTTGGGGAAATTGTGATCATTTTCCCCCGAAATTTTTAGACAATCTTGTACCCAATTGAATCTAAAATATCTAAAGATTTCAAAGAAAAATGTACATGAATGTCGTTAAAAATACATGCTTTATCAAGGGAAATTTAACAACTCTCGAATGTTCTTACGGCGTTCTTCCTTAACACGGCAGAGTTCCCCTTAGCGGTAGTATCAATGTCATGGTGAACGTAAGTTCGCGAAACCATGTCGTTTGGTCTACAAATTTCCCGTCACAGTTAACTTCTTTGATGGGCTGATTGATCTACGATTATGCATGAAATTTTGTGTCATTTCTCTTCGCCCTTCCAAGAATAGTCTAAGATTGTTTTCCGTCAAACAAAAATGTACTTTAATGTACTATGAAAAAAGTTTAGCGATACGTACCGTATTATACGGCTTTTAAAATTTGATTTTGGGAAGGTCAAATACGCCCAAAATCATGTTCAGTACAAAATATTCTCAGAGAAAAAGTTCAGTTACAGGTATTCAGCCTCGATTCATATCGGACAACAAACTTCTTGGTTCAGGCAACCGGTGTTTTCGGTCATAGGAGCCAAAAATCGGTGAATTGAACCAAAGTTCAGTTTTTTTGACTGTAAACTCCGTTTACCTGAACCAGAAAGTTTTGAAGCTCAATATGAACCAAAATTGTCTTTCTCCTTGTTGATCACGTATCATGAAACTCGAATCTTGTGAGGCGGTACATTGTTTTATGACTGTATTTTGTGTAAATGTATAACTATCTTACCTGAAAAACTTGAGCATCAGTTTGATTGTTCGCTTCCCACTCGGGAGAGTCGATAAATTGATAACAGTTAATAAAATGAAGATGCGTCCCTCCACATGTTACTCTCAGCCTGTGAAGAAAAGAAAGAAAACAAAGTTTGATGAAAAAAAACCCCAGTATGTCTTATATAACAGATCATTCATGAAAATCGTATCCTGACCTCCACCTTCCTGGAAAATGTCGAAAATTATTCTTAATTCAAAATAATTTATTATTCAATCCCACCGCTTATCTTTCTACTATTCTGTCGTGCTAAGGAAAAACTTTTTAAGAGCATTCAGGCGTTGCCATATCTCCTTCAATAAAAAACGAAGTTACTGGGAAAATTTTGAATATTTTTCCTCAAATTTTTCAGATAATTTGGTTCACAATTGAATCTAAAATATCTGAAAATTTCAAGGAAAAATATGTAAAACTCTCTTTAAAGATACATGTTTTATTCGGGGAAATTTGGCAACGCTCGAAGGTTCATACGCCGTTCTTCCTTACACGGCAGTATCGGTCCTCTTCCTTCTTCTCTTGAGTTGATAGATAAGTCATAAATAGAGAAAATGCAATGTTGCGGAGCAGTTAAACCCCTCAGGCTTTGGCTCCTTCAACTGGTAAACACGATACCAATTAGCAAATCTTAATACAACAATTCGAGCTCCTAAGTTGTGCGGATTGCAGTTGGAAACATGAAGGCGCCTTGCCCTTTTTTGCTACAGCGTACGAGTTGGTTGACCCCGAGAATTTGTAATGGGGTAATTTTTTTTACCGTTTATCTGTACAAAAGCTCGATGTCTTGGCCGACTTTTCGCCGTCAAGCAGTCGTTAGCGAAGTTCTGTTTGAGCTGAAACGATTTCTCATTTCAGAATATGTTCGCTACTCAGTTTTGACCATGAAAGATAAAGGACGCGTGTTCCTCTCCCTCGACGCGCGCAAATAAATAACCCTCAATTGGACTATTTATGCTGAAAGGAACTATCTCGCACGCAGACCCTATGCTCATAGTTCCTTTTAGCATAAATATGTCCAATCCGTAAAAGTTTCAGGAAGTTGACGTACTCGCGTAAAAAGTGGGTGAAACTTTCCTAAGAGTTGGTCCATGTGGGGAGACAATGGCCCGGCCGGCGCGTGAGGAGTGGAATTGGAGTTTTATTGAGGTCCGGCGACGAGTAGTGAGTAGTGACCCAAAAGACTCTTGGCGCCGAATGCGTGATTTTTACCGCAGTCGACAAACGGTCCCAGTTCAAAGCGGAAATAAACCAAAAAGACCGAACGCCGCACCGCATCACTGAAAAGCATCCCTTTATCCACATAAAACTCCTCGTGAAATTTTTATTCGCTTATTTTATTTACTTTACAGATATAATCGCCCCGCTTCATTGCCATTAACTTGAATTGGACTCCGCAGACAGAATGAGCAATACTCCACTCAAAATATGAAACAAATTCGACTGAAAATGCACTGATTGTACTGAACTTGGCTCATTTCGATCATGTTCAGGAAAAATGCATTTTCTACTTTACCCCTGTGATATTAACTGCAATTCTCTTTTGTGGTAAAATTATTTATTTAAAAACGAAAGTTGAGCTATTAACCGACTTTACAAATATGATCTGCAATAATTGCGACTCAGGTCATGCTTTAATAAAAAAAAACAATGTGTAAGAGGACGTTATTATATTTACAATTTTACGATGTTGAGGTAAAATTGTAAATATATTATCATCCTCTTCCACATTGTTTCTTCATTAAATCATGGCCTGAGTTGCAATTATTGCATACTATATTTGTAAAGTCATGTAAAAAATTAAATTGTCCAATTATAAATGTCGCAATAGCTGATGTGGCTTGGTTCCTCTATGCTCAACGTGGTCCCATTAATATATTCAAAAATGTTAAATAATCAAGTTAAAACTGAAGTATAAAGGGAACAAATGTTTAGAAATCCCTCGGAATGTTTTACCGCCAAATGTCCCTTGTTCACTGAAAGAGTGCGAAACAAAAGCGTTGAGATGGGAAACCTCGAAGAGGCATTGATCGCCATGAAATAAGTCATGGGCGTAGCCGGAAAATTTCCCAAGGGAAGCACCATAAGACCCGCCTCGATCTCCCGTTTTTAAATGTGATTTATTTTTCTTTTTCTTTTCTCGAATTGCTCAAAATAAAATCACTCTAGAGGACGTTTCGAGCCATTAATAAACTCTCCGAGGGCATTAGTTTCGAACTCTCCTAGAAAAATCAAAATTATTTTTTTCAGATAGACATCTCATTCGTCTGCTCCATTATGACACTTAATTTAATCGGCTTACGCGGTGAATTGATATTTTTGACGATCTATTGGGACGTACCACGGTGCGGTTCATTTTACTATCTTCCTTGTCCATATCGTCGATCGAATTTCAAAAACTCGCCTGCTCACGAAAACAGAATTCCCCATACCACGTTGGCTCAATCGTAAAAATGTTACCAAATACTCGTGGTATACGAAAGAAAACACCACAAAATTTAATTTTCTCGTGAAGATTTGAGTAAAATACGTTCAAAAAGTGTTAAATTTAAAAATAAACGTGGTAAGGTCCAGTCTCTGGCGGCAAAGTCGTTGAAGACGCATCAACATAAGAAGAAGATGAAAAGAGAAAGAAAAAGAAGAAGAAAAAAGTACGAAGAAGAAGAGGCATCAACAGAAAAGGGAGAGAAATAAAAGCAGAATTCGGTCATTCTAGGTACCTGCAGTGTAGCTGAGAGTTTCTTTAACTTGGAATGGTCATTTTTTTCTTTTTTCTCTTATTTTTCTCTTCAATTTCTCACATTTTTATCCTTTACAAGTTTAATGAATACCGAGAGAAATCCTGTGAGATTAAGAAATCCGCGAATTTACCTAAATGATCTCAAATAAAAGAATAAAAAATTTCGACGCAATATTCTTTTAATGTAACCAAAAAAACCAAAAAAAATTAAATATCATCCGAATTATTCTGAATCGTTACAATGTGGATACACATTTTTCATATTTTTATTTATGGTAAAAACTGGAGTAGAAAGCCAAGAATGATGACACCCAGTCTTATGGCATTCCTGCACTCTTGTAGGCGCTAATATGCGTTTCACGCAAACTGATCGACTGCACTGCGTTTGGTGCCATGCGTGAAGTATTCCTAGAATCTTGCAGGCGCTAATATACGTTTAACGCCGGCCGCACTGTGCGTGGCGCGATTATTCGATTCGAACTCGCGTTAGAATAATCGCAGCACCAAATAATAGAGCTTTAAAGGCCCATGTTGTGTTTTGGTTCCGTATGAGCATTCCAACGTTGCCTCGTTTCTCCAAATTAAATATTTCTCCCCAGAAAAGTTAGGAAAGTGCTTTATACCCACGACCATTATTCAAATCATTTCACTTCATTTATTATTAGAAGGTAAGTCACCGATGACTTGTCAACAAACTAACCTAAACTAGCGTAAACATGAAAATGCGTTTAATTTCCAACTGTTCCAACTGTTTAGTGTTTTGCTAAACTTTTTCCTTACATTAACTTCATGTTAAATTCGCACATTTTTCCTGTAGCAGATAGTTAAGGTTTCCACTTTCGCAATCCTTGTGCCTTTTTCGCGCGATCCTCATATATTTTCTTAGACCTTCGTGGAATCCTGGATTACCGCTTTTTGTTAAAGTTACAGTAAGTGAACAAAATATTAATAAAATAAAAATCTTAGTACTTAATTTCATTTTCAGCTCATCAAGTGACCCAGTTTTGTCTATGACCTGTATCTTTCGATAACCTTCAAAGAGGTCATACGTTCTTCTTTCCAAATTAACGTGTTTTATATTTCATTACTTTAATGTTTGATCAAAGTAAGGATTTGACACCCACGGAAAAAAATTTCTGGCCCTTGAAAGCTCCGCGATGAGCAAGTCATTCTATGCGCATCGGCTAGGAACGAGTGTGTAGCTGTTTATGCGTAGACTGCAAAAACAAGTCGCACTCAATGGCATCCACAAAGTTAACTTTCGACCGTGTTCAAGGGTCAGTGATTACTCAAAGGCTCTACGCACCAACCGACGCGACGGTTCTGGAAAGAAGTACAAAAGAATCGATAACGTCGCAAAAACACGGGTAAATAAGTCAACTTGTGTCCGTCTACCTCACCGATGCCATTAATCAAGCATTATACTGCCGTGCTAAGGAAGAACGCCGTATGAACATTCGAGAGTTGCCAAATTTCCCCGAATAAATGTTCATTTCTTAGGAAAGTTATGAATGTCTTTCCGTGAAAATTTCAGGAACTTTGTATGAAATTGCTAACAAAATTATCTGAAAAATCGGAAGGAAAATACAAATAAGTTTACTAGGAAATTTGCGTTTTATCAAAAGAAATCTGGCAACGCCTGAAGGTTCATACGGCGTTTTTCCTTGGCACGGCAGTATAACTCTCCGCAACGAATCTATTAAAACCCAACCACTCTTGAATGACTTATGAATGGGCCGTAAGTCTCAAGAGCTTCAAAAGACTGGCGCCCGGCGCCTGACACCCGCATGTCATATCGTTGAATTAGATTGACATTCACTTCATCTTAAAGTACGGGAGTAGAGTGTGCTGAAAATTAAGAACCGGAAACGGTTACCTCAAATTCTTTGAATGAAACGGGCCCTTTGCGAAAAAGAATCACTTCAAATAGATGGTGCCCCCACAAATACAAATATTACATATACGTTAATATTACGCGTATTTTGTGGTACTCTTTGGTCCATCTAAATTTTAGGTTCATTTGATGATTTTTTAGCCGATATGCTCGGAATCACGTCGAGTAAAATTTTAGTCGTGACAGAGACAATTTTTTCTAAACCAAAGAATCTTAAAACGACGAGGAAAATTTCGTTATCACGACTCAATATTACTTGTCTGGCTTATCATTTGCTTGGCGCAACACGCATTTTCTTCAGAGCGACCAGGAGCAACCAGATACTCCCATAGAAAGCTGTTCTTTTGGGATCACGAACGCAATTTTCTCGGTGTGGTAGACGACGCCGCTAGAGGAAAACTGAGCCAGCAAACTACGTGGCTGGTGGGCGAGATCTCAATTTTTCTACGAGGGAATCGATTAATTCCATTCAACTTTACACTGGAAAAAAGACACATTGTATCTAGAGTCCAGACTCTTAAAAACATCGACAAGAAAAAGTACTCTTGATTCAATCAGAATCTAGCTTAAATCAAGAACCAAGACTCTTTATTTAAGCGGATTTCGTTTTGATTCAAGCAAAAATCCGATTGAATCAAGAGTATTTTTTCTTGTCAATGATTTCAAGAGTCTGGACTCTACATCCAATGTGGTTTTTTCCAGTGTATGTTGAAAGAATATTAATTCGCGTAAATCTAAAAATTCAGGGGAAGAATCACCACTCTCCACAAATATATATAAATGTCCAAAAATTCATAAAATTTACACAGACATATATTGAAGGGGGGGAGCCCCCTCACCCTAGGGGAGCCTATTTGGAGAAGGAATAATTAGGTGAACTACTGACCTGCCCCTGAGGAGGATGGAGAGTTGCTCGTCAGCAGGAGTGGTTTCCTCGATGGCGTAGGTCTCCTGCTCACTAATTTGGTGGAAGGTAACCTCCCTGGTAAGCTCCTTGAAGTGCTTCTTGCTCACTTTGAGCGGCTTGAAGACGCGGACGTAGAGCTCGGTCAGCTCGAGCGACAGGGCCGGCGGGCAGAAGCGCCAGATGAGCAAGAGCGTGTGCACCGCGTTCAGGAACCCGAGGACCATGTTCCACAAGAAGGCGTCGAACAGACACACGTGCACCCCTGCCCATGCTGCCGAGATGAAGAAACCCGTGCTCAGCAACGCCCTGTAAGAGAAAAACACACGTGGGTCAAACTAATGGATATGCTACCATACCTACTAGCCCTAGATGTCATAATGACATTGGCAGATCCAGCAATGTAGCAACACCGGATATCCTCCATTTAAACCTATGCTAAATAATCGATTCTTGTCGGAGCGCCATTAAAACCACCCTTTTCCATTCATAGGATCCTTCTATATCCCTTTCGTCTCCCCTATCTATAGCTTTGTCTATGAATTTCAACAATAAGCCCGCAGGTGCGGCTAAAATTTAAGCAGGCGTAAGAAGCAGAATCATTTTGACCCCACACGGAGAAAAAAACCTCGTGCGTGGGACCAGGGACCCAAAGTTTAGGTCGTATGGATCTCTGAAGTTTTCGGATTGAGCATCTGAACACTTTAGGTCTAGCTGTCGAGGTTCGGATCACACATCTAAAACTCCAGTTCTTACATCTGAAGCACTTCAGATATGAGAACCGAAGTTTTTCGGATGTGAGAACCGAAGTTTTTCGGATGAGAAAACCGAAGTACTTCAGATGTAAGAACTACAGTTTCAGATGTGTGATCCAAACCTCAGCAGCTGGACCTAAAGTGTTCAGATGCTCAATCCGAAAACTTCAGAGATCCATATGACCTAAACTTCGGGTCCCACGCACGAAGTTTTTTTCTGCGTGCAAGGAGTCTCGTGTAATTGTTAAGTGTAAGAAGATTTGTATTTTTCACTAATAATTAAAAAAAAGTATTACAACGAACCTGAGGAGCAAGACGCTGGGTTTGTAGGTTCGCGGCGCCAGAAAAGCTGACACGAAACAGAGGTTAGAGAACTGGAAGAGGTTATGCTGGGCCGCCTCCCACTCGCCGCAGTAGGACCCTTCTTCAGCAGTGCCGTTGGTGACGTTCAGGGCGCTGTCGTTGTCTGCGTCCAGCATCAGGTTGTACAGGTCCCAGCCCGCACTCGGACCAGCGAAACTCAAATTCGCCATCCCTGAATCCCTTTTTGCTCGCTTCCTCGCTCTCGGGGTCTTGGGTTTACAGGTCACGGATTCGACAGGGATGATCGCGACAACTAAGATCACTTCGTAGTATCGAACCAATGCCAGCCGCTTGATTTCGAATGACCTCTCCATCACAGTGACCTGCTGACCTCACCTCGATGACCTCACCCGGCGACCAGACCCGATGAATCTACGTCTTTTTCAGCCGGCCTATCTTCATTTTGGTCATGCTCTCACCGGAGGGATATACCTTTTGCTCTCGGCGCAATATTAGGTCGAGGGATGTAATCGTCTTCTTTCCTTAGCTCATGTGTTCCTCGTTTGAAAACATTTTCGACTGGAGATCTTTCTTGATGGTCATCCAGAATTAGGTTAAGGTATGAACTGGCTCTTGGCTTCCTGTATGTTGGTGTTGTTCCTGCAACAAATCAAATAAAACATGGTGAAGGTTACTTTCTAAAAATGATTAAATCGTGACTTTTACGAAAAAAGGAACCTTGGCGCTCTTTTCGGGTAGAGGAATGCATCATGAGCATATTGCCGCAGACATCCATACATGGATCGCATTTTGCAAAAAGGAACCAGAAGAATTGCGATGATGCTAAGATTGTGCATTTTCATTCTTTGCAATTGAATTACTGAAACCATGAAAAAAATATGAAATTTACATTATGATTTTGTCTTAAATTTACAGTTTTTAGCAAGTAAAATAGAAACTGTTAGTGGATAATCAGGTTTTTCCTCTAAGACAAAAGAAGTTGCACAATCTTAGCAACATTGCACTGCTCCTGGTTACTTTTTGCAAAATGCAATCCACATGTCAATTATTGAAAGCAAAGTTATTACAGTTTGAGGTTTTCAGTTGAAAAAACGTTAGATTTAGGATATTTTAAAATATAAATATACTGTAAATGAGACTCGTATATTGCCAAATTAAAGTTCAACTTAACAACTCCTACTTTCACAGAAATGAATTAGTTAACCCACAGCTTATTTCTTTTTCATTGAGACAATGTAGAGCGTAGTCCGCCAAAAAATTGAACACCAGTGCTTAGAGCATACCTAGTAAAAAGCGAAATCTATGAAATCCGTCTTCTTTGGCTAAAGTTCCTTTTTCCGTGGATAGTCTTAAATACCCACAATTAGTGTACTTAAGACATACACAAGTATATCATCACATGTGTATGTCAAGGCATACGCGATACACAAGTACTCAAAACCATGAGGTGCAGCGAGGCAAATGAACGCCAGCACACCTTGGAAAGTAGCCGCGCCTTCAACTTTCAAGGTTTGCTTCACGAGCAACTATTTTAACGTCAATGTATATTATTGCATCTCCTATTTTTGAAGGCGATTTAAGTATCCTGCTCCGCAGTGTTCTGCACAGCAATCTCGAGCACATTGCCCGGTATGTCTTGGTGCGTGATTACATCGATGGTGAAAATGAGACCACGAAAAACACCTTGATTGATGTATTTCAACATTTCAGTCTGTATTCTTCTTTTTTTTATAGAATAGGCACGCTAAAACTCATTGCTTATATGTTGTGAATAGATGCTGAATTTAAGAGTTATTATCCAGCATTGAAAACACATTTTCTGGATCACGACACAATTATCGACACATTTTGCAACGCGCGGGACGTAATCCTTTCAGAGTACATTGTCTCATACGCAGCGCTGGAGGATTTCCAGCCAAATTCGCCCGCTTCGCACCGGCCCCGCCGAAACGATGCAGAGATTTGCATCGCAGCTCATAATTGCAACGAGTGCTGAAAACAGGAAAGCTCCACGGTTGCTTCATTAGACTTTTGTTTCGGGACCATGTGAGAAACGCGCAAATAGGGTTTTTTATTATTTTTTCTCTTCATCCCCTTCCGCCGTCGCACAGTGGATCCAGTCAATACGCGAGGTCGCGGACGAAACTTGGAAACTTTAAAAGCTTGCAACTCCGTTTGTACCAAAGTTTGAGGTTAGAAAAGTAATTTCATTGGTTTTTTCGTGAAATTAGCTTCCATGAGCACCCCTTGAAATTTCAAAATGTGACGGAATAAACAACAAAATTTGCAGTTCCAGTCAAAAATTTCATGTCTGACCTCTCTAATGGAGATGTTGCATGTGTGAGGAATTTGCGATTTGACTGTTGATTCCCATGTAAAAGTTCGAGAGAAACACGATGGTGCCACTGGTTTTCTCTAAAGTCAACTTCCAAGCTCAAAAAGAGCTCTCAAGTTGAGGCCAAAATGAAGGGGATATCCCACCGCTATCCTGAGAGTCCACCTCAACATCAAGACAAACTCTCCATGCAAAGATAGTGAGCAAATACATTGACAGGGCTGCCACTTTATTTGGGGACTCTAAAACTGAAAACACGTTATCCCTGCTAATGTATTTGCTCCCTATCTTTACATGGAGAGTTCGTCTTGGTATAGAGGTGGACTCTCCGGATAGCGTGGGATATCCCCTCCATTTTGGCCTCAACTTGAGAGCTTTTTTTGAGGTTGGGAGTTGATTTCAGAGAAAACCAGTAGCACCATCGTGTTTCTCGCGAACTTTTACATAATAATCAACAGTCAAATCGCAAATTCCTCACACATACAACACCTCCATTGTCTTCAATCGGCACCCCTTGAAATTTAAAATGTAATGGAATAAGCAACAAAATTTACAGTCTCAGTCAGAAATTTCATGTCCGACCTCTCTAATTGACGCGATCCATTGTGCGCCGTCGCTCCCTCAAGCCTGCTTTTAGTCTACAAACTTTTCATGCATCGTTTCGCAGGCATCATATTCCAACCCTACAGGATAGCTATTCAGCATGACGCTCCTCTCTAGCCATGGCGGGAGCTCAGCACCCTAGGTAAGTTTAATTTAGCGCGAATATTAGAGGCTCTAGAAAAATAAAAGTTATACAATTCTAACGATATTCGGTTGGAGTCTTCTGCAACGCAATTTTCCACGATGCGGAATTAACACCGCATTGCAGTGGGATTTCACACGTTAGCGTTTTTGGATGCCGGTCTTCTATGTCTTAAATTTTCTTGGGCCATGATGTGGCTTATTTCAATTTCGCGTTTTTAGGAATGAATTAGGAGCGTTCAGAAAAAAGGAAACCTTGTTGATGGCGAAACTCAGCTGAAATCAAAGGATTCGATCTTTCATTCCGTAAATCTGACCGAATTTTGTTTGGTTCGATTGAGAAACGAAACGTTAAAAGGTATTTTTTTTTACTTTAAAAGGGAACGGCATGTGAATCCCAAAAAATATATCACGTTTCAAAAGAAAATTCGCTTACTATAGCATTTTCAATTATTTCCATGACACGCCGCGCAGTGGAGAATAAAAACAACTTTCCTAAAATTTACTTCACTGATAATTAAATATACCTAAAATTTTAATGATCATCAAATTTCATTTGATCGCGGAGATTTCTATGAGCGCTTTTTCCATCCCAACACTTCTCGACGCTCTAATTTTATTCGTTGTGGGTAAAAAATCGTCCCATTGTTGTAATATTGGTAATGAATGGTGCAGAACGCGCGCTCATATCACAGAATTTTCATCAGTTGATTACAGGACCAGTTCCTCTTCAAAAATTTGCCGATTTCAGCAAAATCAAAAATTTTTACTTTCAAATCCCGCTAATCATTAAGCGCTTTTCTAATTTCTATGTATCCTATAACTTCCCCTTTTTTCCCCCGCTCCGCAGCTAGCACAAGCGTTAATTTACGTGTTCTCTGAGAAGGGCTCAGGTTAATCAAGCAATTCAATTCAAATTATTCAGGTTAATCAATATGGGCGCTAGTAGCGTGGCGTACTTTGCGATATATCGATTGATCTGCCATTTAAACCTATGAAAATTGATCGATAAACAGTGTGTTCGCAACGAATACCTTGATAATCGATTCTTTACTACAGATTCAAAGGGAGAAATATCGATAATCGATCATTCACGCCTCGCCACCGATGGGCGCCAAATTTCTACGCTGTTACTGGACAGTTGCGGATGAAGCTCATGCAAACGAAACCAGGACTCCACAAAATGGGTTCGGTCACGAAAGGAGACCTGCCCCCTCACCTCCTTCTTCAACCCCTTCCCATACTTTACACCCTATATCTGAGTGGAACCACCCGTAATGCATGCAGTTATTCCTCTTTTATTTTCTTTTTATGCTTACTCGAGACGCTTATTGATGTTAAAACGAGGGAAACACATGTCTCGATTAACGACGTCACAAATTTCATGTCGCAATTATTTGTAATGCACAAGTTTATCAAACATTAGTATTCCTCCATTCACGTGTCATTACTTGTTCTTTCATTTGAACGAATGAAAAATTTACGACCTCGTAAAAATAAACTTGTAGATGTTGTAATGTTGGTAACATGCATAGCAAGAATTGTAATTATCATCACATGCCTATATAATGTCAGATAAATATTGTATATTTATTTTTATGTGTATAATATCTATATCTACGGTGGAATATTAACCTTTTTACGGAAATAAATGGACTTCTTTCGCAAAAATGAACGTAATTGCATAATGTTTTTTTTTTATTTCATAGTGGAAGCTTCCATCAATATTCTGTTTATTTCATGAAAACAAGCTTTCAATATGAATTTGGCATTATTCCAAAAGTGTTTTATATTGCCTCAAATTCGGAGCTACGGAAGAAAAGCGAGGGAAAACAAGTTTTATCTAAATATTCGCGAACCTTTCCTGCGTTCTCACGAGAGTATAAAAGAATTTAATCCTGGAATCTGATAGATAGACAGTAGATAGATAAGATATGAGAAAATGTATCGCGAGGCTTCGTAAAAGTGGGTCAGTAAAATATGAATTGCTTTTGATCATTGAAATTGTTTTAGTGTGCGGAAATTTCAGATACTATATCCTGTTCATTAAATGTTCCTTCTCATAATTTTTCCCCCTACCCGTTTTATCGGAAGCATTCAAATAGACTTGAACGAAAGATGCATGTTTTTAAACTCACAGTCGGTGATGAGAAAATTTGCAATTGCACGCGCTCGTATAATCTCAGCAGTAACCGTTATTTTTTGCCATCCAATCAAAGCGACACTGCTTAAGGCGCTCTGAGCAACTATTCCACCTCAGAAGTATTGCACAGTATCAAACGTAATTGAAGGCGCACCGGCGTATCTAAATCGACTGGTATCGTTTACCAATGTGTAAAGACCTATTGATCCTGCAATGTGCGGTTACTGTTCATTTTTTTTTTTTTTTTTTTTTTTTTTGAAACTTTGTGTAGGATGGTATTTTTGACGGGAAACTTGAATTTCAACTGAAATTTTCAAAATTCTAGAATCCAAGATGTGGACTAAAATGCTGTCTCAGCTCCTGTTCGATCAATTATCGTAAATCAGAGGGTTATCTTGCCACCTGAACTTTTGGTTT